GTCCCACCACAAAGGTCGGTACTCGCGCCTGTCAAAATGAGAACACTATATAACCTCCTTGCTGTGTAACAACATTCCCTCATATAGTCATCAGAAAAGTAGTCTTTAAAAGGCAATGCGTAGTTCAAAAGATGCACAGAATTCAATAGCATAAGAAATACATAGGTGATGTTAAATGATCGACTTGAGAACTACCGTTGAAACAATTATCGATCGAAATGGTGACACATGCCACCGCCCTAAGCCATACTTATATTTAAGTGTGACGTATATTTCCATTACGTCATCTCTGTTTTCTCAAGAGAGTATATGTATACTACATGCAACACACTGTTAAATTATGACGTCGTATTCACATTCGCGTATGTAAATACACAACATAACATTTTTTAAAAACATACCACTACTGCATAAACAAGGAAAGTGTAAATAAGCAATATATAATAGCAGTTCTGAAAAATATCAGTGAATGTCATTCATCTATATAATTATAACACGAACAAATAACAATAACCTCGTTTAAGTAGAATATAATAACCCATATGTTATTCCCTTACCATATTGAACTACAAATGATTATATGTATGCATTGTCTCAATGAATAAATAGGTGTAAACATTCTGATTTGAATTAAAAATATGTTTTATATTTATGTTTTACATATGAAATATATTATTTAAAAGTTAATTGACTTTATATAAACATAATAGAAAATATATGAATAAAAATATATTTTTTTGTTTTCATATGTCATGTAATTACTTCCTATTCTTGTCTGTAGATATGTTTATTATTAATATTGGATATTGAATGTGTTCATCATTCACATTGATTTTTAAATAGTGTGTTTTTAAATATTAAATTATGTACTTATATGTGTATATTTATTGATACAACGTATTTCAATATGTAAAGTGTTTTATAACAAAAATGTCTAATAATTGAAGAAAAGTACTAATATTTTATGAAATAATCGTTTCTTATTCATATTATATAATACCACACACATTTGTACGTTAATTTTTATATCAAAATGAAAGAAAAAAATAAACGAATAAATAAAACACGATAAATAATTAATATGAAACTCGTTGGAATAACTAATAATTTGAATTGTATATTAGTATGACAATTTTATACACGGTAATTACGGTAATTGTACATTATTATACAGAGTTGAATTTAATCTTTTCGAAATATTTTTATGGATTAATAGGACTTCATAAACGGTATAACTTTTATTTAAATCATTTTTTGGTATCTTCTGTCGTTAGAAGTTATAAGCGCATAAATAAAAAGGGCGAATCGGAAAAAAGGAATGGTTCCTCCCTTAAAGTAGGAAAGTATGTAGTATCAACCAAATATGGCAAATTTCTTAGGTTTGTCGATTCATCAAAATCGACGTGTATCACTTACCGAACAGCCCTTGTTGGTGAGTATAAGTACTCCCCCTCACCCCAGGTTCAAGAGAAATTGAGCACACACCACAAACGCTGAGTAAAATAATCCACTCCAGGGACCGAGCGCAGACTTTCGCAAATTTAATACAGCGAGTCTCCAACGAACGCTAAAAGCGCGACGAGTAAGTGAAAGATGTCGGGAATTCCCCTTTCAAGTCCATCCCCAAGCAGCGCAACGTCAAAGTCAGAAAAACGATAGTGGTCACGAAAAACAACTATCCGAGAGGGAACTCTTCCAAGCACCAGCCCAAAGGACGAAGGTAAGACATCTCCTGGACACTAGAAAGAAAAGCAAAGGTTAGCAGAATAAAACTCATTCATGCGATTCAAATTCAAGCAAATCGGCGCCAAAAACACCACCCATAAAGCATCGATTGTCGGTAACCAACGAAAACTTAACGAGTAAAACAGCATCAGCCCAAATTCGTCCAAGTGCAATTCACGTTACCGTTGTGACGCACTTGCTCCGCGACGCATGCGCACCAATCATAAAGTCTACACTCTGCGATTCTCATGCGAATCTACTCTCCCTAGTTCCAATGTACTTACCCGTGTAAGTATTTACATATTTATAGCAAACAGTAGATGATATTTTATACATAATCATAATTCTACCTTATATTTAAATATAGCTTGTACCCATTGTAACATAGGATAAGGACCTTAGCGTACTGTTAAATTGTAATGTGTGTATAAAGTAACAGACGTAATGCATGCGCGTGCAGCTGCACGCGTAAATCTCCGAAAACACCTAGTTAGAAAACTCAAACGTTATTCTCTTATTTCACTAATCATCCTTCAATTGTTTTTCCGTTATGTCAGCATCCATATACGGCTTTTCGCATAGCACGTAGTTTCTAATGTTATGACTTTCAGATCATTCATACGTTTAATTAATCATTCTAAATGTAAATTAAGCCACGAGTTTTGCTCTCTAGTTTAAGTCCTAGTTTTAGTCGTTCTATAATTTAATTGTACTTCTTTAGTTTTGTTCTATTGTTAAAATATACTTAAATTATTTAAATTCAGTTAAAACTTTAGTCCGACGTTAAAGTCCTACTAGTTAACTATCAAGTATAAAATCACGCGTCGCGTTTAATTTACATCGAAGAAGCAGATCATTACATCGACGCCATCTACCTCATCAACGACGCTGCGGCTTTATCTTCTACGCTGCAGTCGGTATATCATCGCCGGCTGGTATTCTACCGACCAGCATCCTCACGGTTCAGATTGAATCTGCAAGTGAACATTTAAGGAAAATAGCGGAAGGTAATAGCACAGACGACATACAGATAGACCTTGCATCTTATTGGACATTTTGTCCGGGGCTTTAGGGCTGTGAAGACCCTTACCATTTTCGTGTCGTTACCAACGTTATCGATTCAGTATAGAATAAGATTACAACAATAGTAGTGGTTGGAATTGGAATTAAATATAAATATGAAATTACGAATAAAGTATAGGATAGGATATCGTTCAATCGTACACCAAGTATAGAATTCTATACTTCTAGTTGCAAGTGCATATACATACATACCTACATGTATAATACATTAGGTACATTACAGATCGACGTTGCGTAGAAAACAAACTTTATTAAACCTGGCGGAACGTGACGTGCGGATGACAATACAGAGAATGTCACGAGGATGGAAAAATAGGGCTATTAAATAGCCCTAAATTTTAACCCTTAAATTTTAAGTGTTTGACGAAGATGAACTTTGGGTTGCGACTGTGTAGGAGAATTGGAAGGTGAAGAGTCCAGTGTGAGCAATGGTGAAAGTTGGTGATTAGTTGTGGGTACATGTAAGTCTAAGCCTAAGACTAAAAGACTAATTGTAAGAAAGAAAATATTTGAGGGTATAACAGTTATAATACCTCGGTCATCTATTTCTTAAAATTCAGATATATTTAAAAGTTGCACTCTCCTCTTTATAATTGTGTAGCTATTAATAGAAAAAACCCATGTCTAACACTTTTAAACATCTTTTTAAAAACCTATTCAAGTTTAAATTGTCATAAATTTTGTACTGTTTATACATAAATTAAAAAGTGCTTACAGCACGATTAAATACATAAAATGCTGACATGTATAAAACCGTAATTCAAAGCTGCATTTTAATGCTCTGTAACGAGTACATACTTGCAACGTTTAATTTTGCTTTCAATGTTACGATTTTATCTTCAGAACGCTATGTCTGATCACAGAACTATCTGAAATGAATAATATTTTGTGTTTAGAAACTTTGAAGGGTTGTCACTTTATAGCGAAAAATTTTTTTCAAAATATTAAACTTGAAAAATTGACTGTTGGCCAGAAAAAGCAGGTTTTCCGTAACATTGCGAGAAATCTTTCTTTTCTATTTCTATAAAACGCTCAAAAAACAAATTTCTTCCTAGGTACTGCTGAAATCTACGAGAACATTTTTGTAGGGTGCTTAAAATTTTTATACATTAGTTTTCAAGCAGGTGGTAACGCGACTGACAAATCATGGATAAGGATATCCATCTGTGAATAGGCTTATCTGCAATAAACAAATCAAAATTTCACCTATATTGGCATACATCTGGTACATAAACTTCTACATGGAAGTTTGCAGAAAAATTGGAAGCAGCGGTGTACATTTATTAGGATAATAACGAAGTGGTACGTTAGAGGTTTACGATACGGCACCCACTGCTAATTCCTAAACGACTGAGGCCGCGGAATGGATCCTTCACTGCAGGAACAGAGAGAAATAACTTACTTTAGAAATTAAACCTTGGGTGGTAGATTTCGCTTTTATACCTATCACCATGTATACAGGGTATCATTTTTAACTGGACACAGTGGAATATCTCAGACGGAACTGAAGCTATCGAAGAAATGTTCTTACGAAAGTTGTTTGGTGCGATGCGGGACATAATGTGGTATAAATAGTTTTGTCGCGGGTGAAGTAGTGGGGGGGATTTCGAGGTTAAATTTGTTTTTTGAACGGAACGCTATACATACTTTCTTTTTACTATAATTTTGTTTTACGAAAAATCGCAAAATAGGGTAGGATATGGGAATCAGGTCAACACGTGTCACACTGCTAAATCCTACTTGACTGTGTTACTAATAAAAATTTTTCACGATTTTCCAACTTTCCATAAAACGAAATGACTTAATGCAGCACATCGTACAATTCGTCTCAACAAACGTTATAATATTAAGAATAGAAAAATGTTGCACTTCATTTAAGATAATGAACTTGACCTTGGAA